GAATCGAACCCGGGGCATCTCGTTGGCAACGAGATATTTTACCACTAAACCAACGGCGCTTGCACGAACACGCAACCTACAAAAACACACTACAACAAGCCCCACACACCAACACACACCAACACGGAATACACGACTCAAACGCTCCACTCGCCGCTATCCACCGCCTCTCTCCGACCACAACAGCCGCCGCCACACTTCATTGACCGCGCCGACAAAGTGCTCGCTTCGGTAGTCGGTCTGTCGGCCGTGCCGGCGACTGGTGGCCTGCAGGACGTCCCCGGACGCCGATCCAGCGCCAGCGCGGGCAGCCTGATGCCATCGACCCGCCAGAGCGCGTGCAGCAGTCGCGAGTGGTCGAAAAAGGCGATGCGGCAAAGAGAATGCGCCGTCCGGGAATCGAACCCGGGCATCTCGTTGGCAACGAGATATTTTACCACTAAACCAACGGCGCTTGCACGAACACGCAACCTACAAAAACACACTACAACAAGCCCCACACACCAACACACACCAACACGGAATACACGACCCAAACGCTCCACTCGCCGCTATCCACCGCCTCTCTCCGACCACAACAGCCGCCGCCACACTTCATTGACCGCGCCGACAAAGTGCCCGCTTCGGTAGTCGGTCTGTCGGCCGTGCCGGCGACTGGTGGCCTGCAGGACGTCCCCGGACGCCGATCCAGCGCCAGCGCGGGCGGCCTGATGCCATCGACCCGCCAGAGCACGTGCAGCAGTCGCGAGTGGTCGAAAAAGGCGATGCGGCAAAGAGAATGCGCCGTCCGGGAATCGAACCCGGGGCATCTCGTTGGCAACGAGATATTTTACCACTAAACCAACGGCGCTTGCACGAACACGCAACCTACAAAAACACACTACAACAAGCCCCACACACCAACACACACCAACACGGAATACACGACCCAAACGCTCCACTCGCCGCTATCCACCGCCTCTCTCCGACCACAACAGCCGCCGCCACACTTCATTGACCGCGCCGACAAAGTGCCCGCTTCGGTAGTCGGTCTGTCGGCCGTGCCGGCGACTGGTGGCCTGCAGGACGTCCCCGGACGCCGATCCAGCGCCAGCGCGGGCGGCCTGATGCCATCGACCCGCCAGAGCGCGTGCAGCAGTCGCGAGTGGTCGAAAAAGGCGATGCGGCAAAGAGAATGCGCCGTCCGGGAATCGAACCCGGGGCATCTCGTTGGCAACGAGATATTTTACCACTAAACCAACGGCGCTTGCACGAACACGCAACCTACAAAAACACACTACAACAAGCCCCACACACCAACACACACCAACACGGAATACACGACCCAAACGCTCCACTCGCCGCTATCCACCGCCTCTCTCCGACCACAACAGCCGCCGCCACACTTCATTGACCGCGCCGACAAAGTGCCCGCTTCGGTAGTCGGTCTGTCGGCCGTGCCGGCGACTGGTGGCCTGCAGGACGTCCCCGGACGCCGATCCAGCGCCAGCGCGGGCGGCCTGATGCCATCGACCCGCCAGAGCGCGTGCAGCAGTCGCGAGTGGTCGAAAAAGGCGATGCGGCAAAGAGAATGCGCCGTCCGGGAATCGAACCCGGGGCATCTCGTTGGCAACGAGATATTTTACCACTAAACCAACGGCGCTTGCACGAACACGCAACCTACAAAAACACACTACAACAAGCCCCACACACCAACACACACCAACACGGAATACACGACTCAAACGCTCCACTCGCCGCTATCCACCGCCTCTCTCCGACCACAACAGCCGCCGCCACACTTCATTGACCGCGCCGACAAAGTGCTCGCTTCGGTAGTCGGTCTGTCGGCCGTGCCGGCGACTGGTGGCCTGCAGGACGTCCCCGGACGCCGATCCAGCGCCAGCGCGGGCAGCCTGATGCCATCGACCCGCCAGAGCGCGTGCAGCAGTCGCGAGTGGTCGAAAAAGGCGATGCGGCAAAGAGAATGCGCCGTCCGGGAATCGAACCCGGGCATCTCGTTGGCAACGAGATATTTTACCACTAAACCAACGGCGCTTGCACGAACACGCAACCTACAAAAACACACTACAACAAGCCCCACACACCAACACACACCAACACGGAATACACGACCCAAACGCTCCACTCGCCGCTATCCACCGCCTCTCTCCGACCACCACAGCCGCCGCCACACTTCATTGACCGCGCCGACAAAGTGCCCGCTTCGGTAGTCGGTCTGTCGGCCGTGCCGGCGACTGGTGGCCTGCAGGACGTCCCCGGACGCCGATCCAGCGCCAGCGCGGGCGGCCTGATGCCATCGACCCGCCAGAGCGCGTGCAGCAGTCGCGAGTGGTCGAAAAAGGCGATGCGGCAAAGAGAATGCGCCGTCCGGGAATCGAACCCGGGCATCTCGTTGGCAACGAGATATTTTACCACTAAACCAACGGCGCTTGCACGAACACGCAACCTACAAAAACACACTACAACAAGCCCCACACACCAACACACACCAACACGGAATACACGACCCAAACGCTCCACTCGCCGCTATCCACCGCCTCTCTCCGACCACCACAGCCGCCGCCACACTTCATTGACCGCGCCGACATAGTGCCCGCTTCGGTAGTCGGTCTGTCGGCCGTGCCGGCGACTGGTGGCCTGCAGGACGTCCCCGGACGCCGATCCAGCGCCAGCGCGGGCGGCCTGATGCCATCGACCCGCCAGAGCGCGTGCAGCAGTCGCGAGTGGTCGAAAAAGGCGATGCGGCAAAGAGAATGCGCCGTCCGGGAATCGAACCCGGGGCATCTCGTTGGCAACGAGATATTTTACCACTAAACCAACGGCGCTTGCACGAACACGCAACCTACAAAAACACACTACAACAAGCCCCACACACCAACACACACCAACACGGAATACACGACCCAAACGCTCCACTCGCCGCTATCCACCGCCTCTCTCCGACCACCACAGCCGCCGCCACACTTCATTGACCGCGCCGACAAAGTGCCCGCTTCGGTAGTCGGTCTGTCGGCCGTGCCGGCGACTGGTGGCCTGCAGGACGTCCCCGGACGCCGATCCAGCGCCAGCGCGGGCGGCCTGATGCCATCGACCCGCCAGAGCGCGTGCAGCAGTCGCGAGTGGTCGAAAAAGGCGATGCGGCAAAGAGAATGCGCCGTCCGGGAATCGAACCCGGGCATCTCGTTGGCAACGAGATATTTTACCACTAAACCAACGGCGCTTGCACAAACACGCAACCTACAAAAACACACTACAACAAGCCCCACACACCAACACACACCAACACGGAATACACGACCCAAACGCTCCACTCGCCGCTATCCACCGCCTCTCTCCGACCACAACAGCCGCCGCCACACTTCATTGACCGCGCCGACAAAGTGCCCGCTTCGGTAGTCGGTCTGTCGGCCGTGCCGGCGACTGGTGGCCTGCAGGACGTCCCCGGACGCCGATCCAGCGCCAGCGCGGGCGGCCTGATGCCATCGACCCGCCAGAGCGCGTGCAGCAGTCGCGAGTGGTCGAAAAAGGCGATGCGGCAAAGAGAATGCGCCGTCCGGGAATCGAACCCGGGCATCTCGTTGGCAACGAGATATTTTACCACTAAACCAACGGCGCTTGCACGAACACGCAACCTACAAAAACACACTACAACAAGCCCCACACACCAACACACACCAACACGGAATACACGACCCAAACGCTCCACTCGCCGCTATCCACCGCCTCTCTCCGACCACAACAGCCGCCGCCACACTTCATTGACCGCGCCGACAAAGTGCCCGCTTCGGTAGTCGGTCTGTCGGCCGTGCCTCACTTTCGAAATTTTGATGTCGTGTTATTTTCGAGAATTGATTAGTCAACTTCAAACGCGATTATCTCGATAACTCCAAATGGCGCCTAAGCATCATTTCATATGTGCTCGTTCGAGCCGTCCAGCCAATCTTGGACCTTTTCCGCGCTATCGCCCGGAGGCGGAGAGGGTTCGTGGCAGTCTGCGGGTTCCATAGTCCGCGTTGACCAGTCAATGTTCGGGTTGCTGGCTTCGCGCCAGAGGCGACCGTGGATCCCGTCATAGTCATACTGTAGCCTCCAAAATACTGCAGCGAGACACAACGACGACGCACGTCGTCGTCGTTACTCCATCAGCTGCAGGTAGAGAGGTAGCGAAGAAGATTTGCTTCAGAGATGGCAGTTTGCAAGGTGAGGTTTATATTTGATCAGTCAGTGGTGTTGTGTTGCACTGAGGGGGAACCACCAAGGTGAAAAAAAACTCTTGGCCCCAGTGGGCAGCAGGAGACGGCCTTGAGCTTTAGGGTGACGTCGCGTTCTCAATCACTTGTGTCGAGCATTCGTAAGACAGTTTGACGACAAATCAAATCTAGTGATTTGATTGGCGAATAGTACGACTTGCCAATTCTGTTGGCACTGCCAGGCGCAGAGTGCTCGCAGGCTCTGCTAGGAAGGCCCGCGTTCCTCTTCGCTACTCTTTTTGATGCATTTCGTTGCACTTCGTATCCTGACTAATATCGGGCGCAGCATAGTAGTGGTAGTAATGATTGGCGGTTCGGTAGAACTGTGCGGAGGAGCGCTGCGACACCAACAAACTCCCTCTACATATTTAAAACACCACGGCGAGCTTAGATCGTTTAGATTTCCTAGTACTACAGTAGCAGGCCCAGCAAACTGGTAAGCGCCTTCAGCCGGGCTGATCAATTACTTTAGCTTTGGCATTTTTCATGTATTCCCGAGAAGTTTCGCCGCTCATTTGACTCTTAGAGGCCCTCACGTCGTTTTGTAGTTATTTGTTTGCGACACCACCAACAGCTTACCTACACGTGGCCGCGGGTGAGGTCGGTGGTGTCCACTACCGACGTAGGTGGAGCTGCAGCAGTGTGCGCCTCCGGGAGTAAGGTAGCCAAGCAAACCGCAACAAATACAAATACAAATACAAATACAAATACAAATACAAATACAAATACAAATACCAAGACTGGCTGACGCTGCCTTGTTGCTACTACAAAACAGTTCATTTCATGACTTTGGTAAGATCCCATAATGTATTGATTGTCTACATCCTCGCGTCCTCCGACAACGCCTCGGTGCGGAGCATTTGTGCGCGCTCGTTGTGCGCTGCTTCGCTCGGAGGCGTCCTCAGAGGACACGACAGGGTTCGTGGGCCGCACTACCGGAGGAAGAGGGGCTCTATTTGGTTATGCATTAACTAGAATTCACTATAAAGCCCTGAACGTTTTGTTTGTCAAACTGGGCTAATGGTTCGGGTGCATTTATTTCTTAACCATTCACAAACAAGCGTGTACATTGTAGTTGGCAGTAGGGCCGCACTACCGACTACATGTTCGTGCTTGTGAGCGCCTTATTTCGTCGGCTCGACTGTAGGTGGCACGAGCAATTCAAAAACGGCAAAGCGGTTGTCCTCGGGTTCCTACATGCTCAACGGAGGAACTCACGCAACGACACTACCCTCTGAAAGTTTTGGCCAATCGCATGGTGCAAATTGTTGTCCGACAAACTGTCTTACGTTTTGACGGACAAAATACAATGTAGCCACTGGTATACTAAAACCAAGATGTAGCCAAAATGCGTTGATTGCAAAACGTAAGACGCTTTGTCTTACGGTAGGCTCTCTGGGGTTAAGTATCGTCTTACGAAAGAGCATGAATCTTCTTTGGCCTTCCCTCAGGGGCGTAACTAGGCCCGATTAGGGGGGGGGCACCCCCCCCTAACTTTTGCCCCCCCCCCCCCCGGATTGGCGGAAGACAATTTAACTGTGTTTACGTGTATTAATGCATTAAATGTCAGTGCGGCACTCAGTGGTGGTACCAAATCGATCAATTGCATCATCTCTGTTGATTGCTCCAGATAAGTCGCGCTCAATTGAAAGTAGCAAGAGATCCGACATCAATTCATCGCTTAGCGTAGTTCGTAGTCGTGGCTTCACCCGCTTCATTGTAGAAAATGAGCGATCGGTGCTTGCAGTCGACACAGGCAGAACACACACGAGCTGTAGCAGCCGATACAAGATCGGGAAAACCCTCTTCATGTCTGTAGCCACCATCGCTATACTCAAGTCACCCAACGACTTAAGCCCTTTGAAGCGATGATCACGTCGAGCGATAGCACCAAGGTGGACAGCTTGATCAAACACCACTTGGAACTGCCTATTGAAGTCGTTGGGGGTAATAGTCCATTGCAATGCGTTGGGATTCCAACTTGAAAAAAATTGTTTTTGGGGCTTAGACCACCACACAGCTCCATAAGACCAAGAACATCTACACCAAATCGACTTTTTAGCTCCTGAAGAATGATTTTTACAACCGGCAAGTACACATATTCGTAGAAATGTTGTTCTTGGGTTTGCTGAGTATCGTTGTCTGCACCAGGGACACCACGTTTCCCTTTGCCTCGGTGTCGCGATCCTCGCCGGAACCACGGCGCCTTCATTGCAGGCACCAAAATCCCCCCACTAACCGGCAGTGTGCTACAGAAACCAACACACCTAATCCATACAGCAGTGAAACTGTTCTCAGCCTCACTGCGCATAGGCGTACCAAGCATTTGCTGCAGCTCTTCTTGAATTCGCATCGCTAACAATGCAGCAGAGGCGACGTCCATATCATTTTGTTTTGCAGATATTGCGATAGCACGTTAAGTTTCTCGAGCACAGTAATGAGAACTTCTACGTGAAAAATGAATTGAAAAGTTCACATTTTGTCGAGAGTCCCAGCAGCATCAGCTCGCTTTTGAGGATCGACAGCATCACTAGCTACCGTTAGAAGCACGTTAGTGATCGACATCCATAGGGATCTAACGCGAATTAGGGCCCTCACACGACAATTCTATCGCGTAGTACTAAGCGCCTCTGTGTTCATAGGCTGATTCAGCCCCTGGCCAGTCTCCAGAGCGCCCTCTCTCAGTAGTTTTTCCTTCTCGTCACGCGCTGTGTCCATTAAAATACCATTCCGTTTGCAAGAGGCACCACACGTAGTATGAATGTTTTACACAACATCAAAACATTCTACCACCGAAATTTGTTTTGGCTGCACACACAATGACCAGGTTCAACCTGTGTGCGAAGAAGTGCACGTAATATGCATACGGACATTCTCCACGCACTCTCGCTTAGAGTCCTGTGTAGTCCCCCGACATATTAGCTGCCCCGTCGTATCCTTGGCCGCGTAGATTGAGCACTGGGATGTTCCATGCTCATGAGGCCGTCGAAAAGATCAGCAGCTCCCGTTGACCGAACATGAACTTCCTCTAAGAATCGCTCCGAATTCGTCCCGTGCGAGAGCACACAAACCGCACCACTATCGACATAAATTCTTTCTTGCCTTCGCAGCTGGCCTCGTCAACCAACACGGAAAAGTACTTGCCAGCTAAATTTGAAGTCTACTTTCGTAACCCTAGCCCCGTGCCTCCCTAGAAAAAAGGCCTAGTCCTATACCGTGCAGGTTCGGACAATTTGATGTCCGCGTGAGAATTCGGACAACCTCTTAATTTCAATTATTAAATTTCGGATAATATAGTGTGGTCTACATTACAATATTTTTGCAATCCAGGCTTCACAGTGAGATAGCCTCACAGCAGAGCCTTGTGCTGCAGCACGAGCAGGACGGACGGCGTGCGGCAACGACAGGGACTGCGGCTTGGCCTCGGGCTGGAGGGCTGTCCTCGACGGCCGGCCGCAGCAGCACACGCAGTACGGACGGCAGGCAGCGACGACAAGGACTGCAGCCTGGCCTCGGGCGAGGAGGCCGCCCTCGACGGCCGGCCGCAACAGGAGCAGGACGAATGCCGCGCGGGGCGGCGGCGAAGGTGAAGGCCGTGCGGGGCGGCCGGCGCATAGACGGCTGCGTGGCCTCGAGCGAGGTGATGGCGCTCGGGGCCGGCAGCGACAGCAGCAGGTTGGCGATGACGTCGTGCAGGTTGGCGGAGGAGGTGATGGCGGCGCGGGGCGACGGGCGCATGGCCAACTGCGTGGTGTCGGGTGGGGTGGCGGCCAACGAATGAAGACGTAAGTGTTTGTCATAGATGTAATTGAAATCGAAACGCTAGATTGCTTCACTGACTTCGTGTGTTGAATATGCATCATGCCTGATTGTTGCTGTCGAACGCGCGCAGGACATCCGATGAGGCCCGAACTCGACTAGCGTTCGCTGTTGCCCGGGGCTTGAGCGTCTGGTGCTTGCTGTGGGAGCAGCGCATGGATCGTCCGCGTGTCAGACGACTCTACAACGCGCCCCTGTGCAGTAAGTGCTTGGTGTCGAAGTATGTGGTCGTCCAGCTTGCCCTCAGTGTGCATGCGTTTTAAGGCTTTAACCACTGTTCCGTACGCTTTTGTTTTCTTGTGGTGCCCTCGCAGAAACGTCAAGATGTTAGCCTCTGCATCCTTACCTGCTTGTAACACGTCCGCCTTTGATCCAGTGACGTCGTACCCATCCGGTAAGAAGAGTTTCATGAAAGCAACAGCTACCTTCGTCTCGTGGTAGCGCCGACGGTTCTGACGCTTATATCACAGAACCACTCGTACCAAACTGACGAGAGAGACTTGGAGCGAGCCCGCTGCTGTTTCACCCGGACAGGCCTGGCCGCCCCCACCGCGCGTTCTGCATTCGACGGCGTCGTATCTTTCACGGGTGTTGAAGTCCTCGCACCTTCAAGCGACGCCACTCGATCATTAAGCGCCTTGACTTGGTTCGACAAGGTGCAGTTGCTGTTGGATCAACTCCGTCTGCTTCCTCACTAAGTCGTCGGACGTCGGCGCAGCTGGGGGCTTCTCCTCCGGCTCGCCAAGCTTCTTCTTGCGCTGAAGAAGGTCGCCCAGAATGGTGAGTGACCAACTGCCAAGCTCTGACTCCGTGACACTAACCTGGGCCAGTCCATGCTGAACTCGTTTGATGTAGGGACTTGTAGGTGCTAGCCTCAACATGTCGTGGTAGTGCAGCACTGCGACCGCCATCAGCACTTCAAGGACATCATCGTGGAAGTTGAACTCGGCCGTGAAGCCGAACGCGGATGCAAATAAAAGCTGTTGAAGTTGACGGATCTTCTCAGACACCATTGGGTCAAAGAGATGAAGGGTAGGTAAGCCAGGCTTCGACTCTGAACCCCACCCGGCTAACGCTTTACCCACTTGCTGATCTTCTCGTGTCGTGCTGACGATGTAGTTAAACGCCTTTCTGATGGAGGTCATACTCCAGCCACCGCGGTCTAGAATCCACGGGGTGTTGAGCTTGCTGTTGCCGTTGGCATTTTGCGCAGCACCTCGGGGAACGAGTGCGAAGACAAGCCCTGGGTCACCTGAAATCCAGTCTTTAAGCACTCGCCCACCCACTTGTTTAACACACGGTTCACGTATGCCTGCATGCCGGGAACGGCAATTCGCCTAGGCGGAGGCGCGGTGCTGGAGGCACCGCCATCAAATGCTGCGTTGTGAACTTGAAGTCGGGCTGCCAAGAGCTCAGCTAGCGGGCTGGATTCAATTGGGGGGATCTCCAGCGGTTGGGTGTCTCTAGGTAGTTGTCGAGTAGGAACTCGCTGGGCGATGTCTGCATGATGCTTGCGACGGCTAGGGCATGCAGAGGGCACGTCATGAAATCGCCGAAATCGTAAAACAGAAATTCACCTTGGTAAGAAGCCGACTTCATCCGCTTAAAGTGGATGTAAATACAGCCGCCTAGACATAAACAAATTGTGTTAGACAATTGCTGCAACAAACATGACTACTTAATAATAAAAAACTTACCAGGGTAAACCGCGACTTGACTCTTTAATAGACACGGCGTGTCCGATGAGCGGCCAAGTAGGTACCACAGCAAGCTCAGATGCGATGCTTGTAGTCATCAGGTGTCGTAGCGCCGCAATAGATTGTCGTGATAAGTGCCCGGAGGTCAGCTTTCGTGCAGGGAGGCGCCTGGTTCGTGAAGTCGGTGCCCCGCTTAGCACAGTATTTGTCCACGATTGAGGCAACCTTCTGCAGACGCCGACTGGACACGCTGCTTAGCGCCGGGAAAAGCTCGAGTAGATGGTTCTTTACATTCCCAAAGTAGCTCGCAACCGAGTTTTTCGATAGTAGCGTCCCTTTAGAGCTTTCTTGGTACGCAAGATGCATAGCGAACTTGTCGAGGACGATGTACAACACATCTCCGGTGTCATCTGCCCCTACCATCGAGCAAATCTGCTTGACCGCCATGCCTTCCCGAGGTAGCGAAGCGCTCAAACACGTTAAGCGCCGTTAGGCGCGCCCGCTGGGAGTTGCCTGGTATGAGATTCTACGTCGACATCTCTGATGTAGAACTGGTAGCACTGCCTCGTCTGCTCCGACGCCAATCATTTTCCCTGTTTAAGACGATATGTGTCCGATCGAGCATGGTCTTTTTAAAATATGAGGTTGACTTGCTTTTATTATGATCATATCAAATATTTTGTAGAGGATCGGACAAAATATGTCCGAATTGTCCGATTTGTTACTGACACGACAACATGAGATTCGAAGCACGCCCATTGGCCAACACAATCTGTCGAAGGCCTCTGATAGGCCAAAAGCTAATGTCATATTATAATGCGAAAATTGGTGTGTCCGAACTTTGATGCTATTCTACCATGTCAAACTCACAACCTTCACTCTTTTCTCCTTTCTGCGTTATAGTTTTTCCTCCTATTTTTGAAATTTGTCCAAATTTTACAAACCCGGCCGCGCCTGAAACAACCCAAACTCTTCAAACAGCAATGCAGTCGCAGGCGAAGAAAGCGGCGAGCCTCGTCGCCGGCGATGCCTCCCGCCTGCGCGCATTCCTGGAGGCCGGTCGCGGCAAGACCATGGTGCTGACGGGTGCCGGCATCTCCACGGACTCCGGCATCCCCGACTACCGCGGTCCCAACGGCGTGTACAACCGCAACAAGGACTTTCGCCCCATCCAGTTCCAGGAGGTCAGTTATGTCGCGGCTACTGTAGTGGCCTATTGCACTCTACCGCTTACTCTTCTCTCAACATATATCTATTGATACTCTTCAGTTCATTGGAGCCCACACGTATCGCCAGCGCTACTGGGCGCGCAGCTTCCTCGGGTGGCCCAAGATCCTCAACACGCAGCCCAACGGCTCGCACAACGCACTCACGGAACTGCAACGAGCTGGCGCCGTCTCCGGCATCCTGACGCAGAACGTGGACCGCCTGCATACCAAGAGCGGCTCCCACAGTGTTGCGGAGATGCACGGGTCGCTGCACGAGGTGGAGTGCCAAGGTTGTGGCGATGTGACTTCGCGCCAGAGCTACCAGGAAGCTCTCCGTGACCTGAACCCGAAAGTCGCCCAATGGTCCATGGAGCACCCGGATAAGGCTTCAGGAGACGTGGCCTCCAGTGACAAGGTGAACCCGGACGGTGACGTCGATATTTCGTGGAACTACGACGACTTCGTCTACCCAGCGTGCAGCAAATGCGGCGGCCTCATGAAACCCAGGTACGCGGCTTGTTTCTCGTTGTGGGGAGGTAGAAAAAATTAATTTGACTTACACTCGACCCGTTGTTGCTTGGTTAGGGTCGTGTTTTTTGGCGAGAACATGCCGGCAGCCACACGAACGGCAGCGCTGGAGTACGTCAGTGATGCAAACGCGCTGCTAGTCGTTGGCTCATCGCTCAAAGTGTTCTCGGCAATGCGCCTCATCAACCACGCTCACGCCCGCAAGATCCCGATCGCCATTGTGAACTTGGGACCCACGCGCGCCGACGAGCTGTGCGAATTGCGCATCGACACACCTTGCACGAGTTTGCTCACGGAGGTGGCAGGCTTGTAGAGATAGAATGAAAACCTTGGCAGAGCAATCTATAGATCGATCGCAGGTGCCGAGAATGCATTAAAAAAAACATCAACGCCGGAGTGCGACAGCTAAGTGCTCGCTGGCGGAGCGAATCAATTAAACGAAGGATGAAGATCACGCACCATGAACTACTTCTGTCGTCGAATATCTTACACACGCAAAACGTAGCAGCTTCTTCGCGGGGAACTCTATAAGCACCCCGCGAGTTTTCAACGCTTGCAAAAGCTACTTAGCTCCACACAGTACGCGTAGGCAGCGCCGTAGAAGAACCACCAACTGGTAGGTTGGGCTTTGCTGCGCTTCCGGTGCTCACGGAGTTAAGGGATGCCACCCGCTGAGCTAGCCAGCTGGGTCCCGTCGACTTGGCTGGCTCCTCCTTCTCTTCGGGAGACGGCGTGACCTCATCGTCCGCCTTCTCTGGTTCGGGTGCTGGGGCAACTTCTTCTTCGACCTTCACAGGCTCTGGCTGAGCAGGGGTCTCCTGAGGAGCTTCGGTCTCAATCGGCTCTGGCTCGGTCTTCACTACCGCATCCTCGGGTTTCTCTGCCTTATTCTCACTGCTAGCATCTGCGGCAGCGGCGGCAGCCGCAGCAGTGTCGTAGCGGAATGTGATCGAGTTGGAGTGGTCGAACGGGCGGCGCTCCATCACTGACTGACTGCCGTGAGCCAGCACAGGGACTGCCGACCTGGCCTCACGCAGCTGAGCCTCCGAGAACTGACGCGGGTTCACGGTCGACTCCTTCACGCCAAGACGAGGACCGTCGTACTCGGGCATCGTCTTCTGAATGGTACGGCCAAGCGCGTGGATGCACTGCACGACCTGCGCAATGTTCTTTTGGTTGTACAGATCGACAGTCTCGAACAGATCGAACTCGGCGACGCCGATGGTGCGGCACGCGCGCACGAAGCTGCTGACGTTTTCCATCTGCTTGAAGGGCATCGTCGAAGTCTGGATCTTCGGGATGAGACCGGGCTGGATCTTGTTCATCAGTGTGCACAGGATCACGCCGTCCTTGAGGCTGTCCGCGAAGCTGGCCAGGAACTTCTCGCCCAGAACAGCCTCGATCCACTCCTGGGCCTCCTCCTCCGCCGTGGGGCCCGATGTGGCAGCCACGCTGTTGAGACCGGGAATTGACGACGCGACCTTTTCGTCGCTCACGGTCGTCTTCTCCACTTCCTCCGAGAGCTCAGCAACCGTCGCATCGACCTCCTCCTTCGTCGGCACGTGCTTCGCGCTGGGCGACAACTCGCCCTCAGGCTGCGAGTCGAACGTGGCGAGCTGGTCCGCATTGCGGAAGCGCGACAGCTGCTCGATCTTCTCCTTGGACGGAGGCGGCGGCGGGGGCGGCGCGCGGTACGCGCTCTGGGCCGCGTCCGCGCCGAGCATGACGTTGTTGGTGTGGTACGACGTGTACCGCTTCATGGTGCGGAAGCTACCGAGCGTCTGCTGCGAGATGATGTTCTTGCCGTCCGCAAGCTGGTCGGGCGTGAAGGAGCGCTGGTTCTTGACGCTCTCCTTGACGCCCAGCGTCGGGCCCTTGAAGTCAGGGTAGTTGCGCTGCACGGCGCGCCCCAGCGCGAAGATGCAGCGCACGACGTTGCCCAGGTCCTTGAGCTCGAACAGGTCCACGGTCTCGAACAGGTCGAACTCATTCACGCCCATGACGCGGCAGGCCTTGAGGAAGGCCGACACGTTCTCCATGAGCTTGAAGGGCATCTTAGACTTGGTCTCCACGCGCTTGACCACGCTCGGGTGGATCTTGTTGGCCACGGTGCAGAGGATCACGCCGTCGCGCAGGCCCTCGCCGAAGTCGTCGCCTATCTGCATCTCCGAGATGCTCTCGAGCCACGCGCGCGCCTCGTTCTCCATGTCGTAGTCGTAGCGCTCGGCGGCCTTGCGCGCCAGCTCGGCGTCCAGGCCGAAGCCGCCGCCGCGGGCTTTGACGGGGGTGCGGGAGGACATGACTGACTGACTGACTGGCTTTGGGTAGGTACGAGGGTGTCTGTCTCTCTTGATCTCTCGGAACTGCGCGCTCCAGCGCAAGTCGGGGAATGACGGCGCCAGAGGAACTCGGAAAGTCGGAAGAGCGGAGACCAGCTGGATGTACGGAGACGGAGCCCAAACGTCTTGGAGAATGTATGGGGCGATTTTACGGCAGAAGTGTTGCGATCAGACACCAAAGTCCACCACGTACGAGGCACAATGACAACCATGCCCGAGCTAGCCAGCTGGCGGCAACTTCTTCCGGCGTCTGGAGACCGAGCCACGCAGAGACTTATCCCGCGTAGCATGTTGCGCATCCCGCAAGTGGTAAAGCGAAGTAACCTTCGCGTTATTTAGTGGAGCTGCAGTTCAACTTTGCATCTTTCGCGTTCGTGGTCGTGCTGGTCGATGGTCGTTCTACAGCTAAAGTGCTAATACGCAAAACTCTACTCGGATAGATAGATTTTCTTTCGGGTGACGCCATCGGATAGCTAAGCGTCGTCCTGGTTGTTCGTGTGCGGCTTCTCGGGCGACTTGGCCGAGTCCCAGGCGTGCGCCAAGCGCTTGGTCGACAGCAGCGGCTCCTTCTCTTCCTTCGATCCGACGAAAGCACCATCGCGCTGAGAGGTCCCCACAGGCGTCGTCGGCCCACTCACCACCGTCACCGTGGCAGTGTTGTACATGCTGTGCGAGTTGCCACGAGCTGGTTGCGCCGCAAAAGCTGCCAGCGAAGCTGCCGTCGTGCTCGCCTGCTTGGACGCGCGCTGGTACAGCTTGGACTTGAACGCGTACTCCTGCCGCAGCATGTCGAGCTGGACCTTCGCTGGAACGCTGCGGATGATTTTCCAGAAAGACCAGATCAAGAGCAGCGAGAGGTGTTCGCTCACGAGGATCATGACCATGCGTGTGGTGAGCGAGAAGCAGGCAAAGTCCGGACCGAAGCGGTAGTGCGAGAAATCACCACCCATGGCGTACGAAATCTGCTTGGAGCAAGACGGCGAGTAGAACTCCATGGCGCCCGTGGAAATGAAGATCAGCCCGATGTTGACAATCACACCAGTCAGAGCAAGGACGTGAAGCATGTTGAGCCACTCGCCGATGCCGCTGGCCTTGCGGGGGAACGGCCGTCGGTTGGTTCGGCACAGACGGAATCCATCTCCGCGGGTCTTCAAGGCATTCACGATCATGCAGGCGGCAGGCATGAGCGGCCACAGCATCGAGAACATGACAACGAAGCCGAACTGCACCGTCATGTGATGGTAGTCATCGTACGGGTCGTAGTTCTCCTGCTCGCTCTCGAACAGAATCGCACGCGCCTTTGCATTGAGCAGCTCCACTTCCCGCTCGCTGTTCTCAAGATACCGGGCCGACGATCGATTCAATAGGTGCGCAAGGTTAGCGCTGTTCCGTGCAGCGGTATCACCGCGGTTGGGCGTGTTTTGATTGTTGCGCGCGTTGTCAGAGTCCTCGTTTCGGTAAGACATCTCCGCGAGCAAACGCCGCTCCCCTTGCGCCTTGACCATAGCCATGACTTTGCGGTCCGTGCCACGGAGGCGCTGCTCGTAGTGCTTACGGTGGATCCACGGGACGGCCACTGCAATGAGCAAGTTCAGCAGCTGGGTGATAATAATGGGCGTGAGGAAAAGCGTCTCCAGGTCGAGGTGGTTGATATCGAACGTTACCCACCCACGGCACGGAATGCAGCGCGTTTCACGGATTCCCATCTCATTCCACGCAGGTGGACAAGAGTCACAATACGAGCCCGAGCGGTCCATATACGGTCCGAAGCAGCAATTGGCTGGGTCCTTCCAAATCAGGGTGTTGAGGAAGTTGGTGATGGTGTCACCGGCACCGGGGATCACGTACACGAACGCAAGCAAGAAGAACCACGTGTAGTAGTTGAGGAAGTCCATGAGGAACAGCTTGCGAATCATAGACTTCTCGAACTGCTCGATGGTTTTCCAGTTTTCCCACTCAGTGAACATTCGTGCGGCCTTCGTGACAATAACGCTCCACTGGATAATATCGACGAACAGTCCATACAGTATACCACCGCCTAGGATGTAGAACCACTGTGCCGAAAAGAGTCCTCGGTCGGGGTAGCGCACCTTGAGCACCTCGAACGCGGTGATCCAAATCGCAATCACGAACATCATGATGGATATCTGCACAATCATGAAGGTGACCACGGCTAGATACTTTGGATACCGTTTCCAGCTCGGGTAGTACTGGTCAGGCAAGCCAGTTACCGGATTCACAAAGGCGTCTCCACTGAACTTCGGGTTACGATACACAATCGTGTTGGTCTCGATGTTGTTCGCCCACATGTGATTGAGTTCGTTGTTGCGGCGAGACCAGGCCTTCAGGAACCAGTAGCTCCACACCACTGAGATCAGCACGGCCCAGCCCACCAGCACGCGCATATACATGGGCGTACCCATGACACCACGCACACATGTCAGGAGCACGCCTAGCAACGCAATGGGGACCAGGAACTTGTTGTAAAAGTCCATGAAGGCAAAATAGTATCCAACCTTCTCGCCAAAGTGAGCTCTCACTTTACGAAGGAAGTTCTCCGACAGGAACTCGAGCTTCTGCGTTCCGATGAACGTCTTGAGCAAGTATCTGTTGGTGGCAGGGTCGTGCACTGGGAAGATGGATCTCACATTGGGGTGGTCCTCCGTGATCTTGGCCGTCTCTCTGATGATGTGGTCGATCACTTGGATCCTCTCGGCGGGGGTGACAATGGGGCTGCTCTGCACCACCGAGTCCACTTCGCGCGAGTTGCCGCTGCGCAGCCACGTCTGGAAGCGCAGGCGGCGGCCGTAGATGGCCAGCGCCTCGTCGTTGCCGCGGATCAGCAGCACAAAGTACTTGCTGGCCTTCTTGCCGTCGGCCTCCACGCGGCTGAAATCCCCCTCCAGCACGTCCACGTCCAGGCCGCTGGCCACGAGCTTCTCGATCAGTCGGCCTTCCACCCCGGCGCTGATGTCCACGACCACGTCGCCCTTCTCCTTCTTCTTCTTCGTATTCTTCTGCTGATTGGCCTTGCGCCTTGTCACAACGGCGAAGTCGTAGGTGACGCCCTCCAGCTCCGCGCCCTTCAGGTAGCGGTACGTCCCTGGATGCACGACCAGCGGCTGGCCGGGCTGCGGCGACACGGGCGACTCGAAGGTCCACTGGTCGTCCTGCAGCGCCAGGTTCATGGCGCCCGCCGAGAGGTGGCGCTCGCTGCGACCTTGGGTCTGGCCGTTGATGGGCACGGACGTCACCTCAGGCGTCGAGTCGTCGTCCTCCATGGCTCGCGAAGGCTCGGCGTGCGGCTCTCTGGGGTCCTCGTTCTCTTGCAGTGGATGGATCTGATTCGCTGCACTTTGTGGAAGTGCGGTGCCATACTTATACACGAAAGAGGCGCCATCATTTCGCTTCATCTGCACTTGACCTTCCTATGTGTGGAATGTTCTCAAGTGCGCCGCGAAGCGGCACATGGCTTGATGTTCAGTTTTAAAGCTGTTGCAGCGTCTTCAGGAGGCAGGCAGCCCGCCGCAGGACGCCAGCGAACGATAGCAGATGGAGAAGACGACAGCACTACTACAAGACGCCGCAGTCCGCAATGGCGAGCACTTGCAGACGCCCGCCGAGGAGCAGCCGGCAGAGAGCAGCGACTCGGAGAGCGAGTACGAAATCCTGTATCCCGGTGACGACGCCACCCAGGAGATCCTGAGCGACAGCGACTTCTACGGCAAGTTCATGCCCAGCACCGACACGCTGTCCGAGTCCGTGCTGCGCTTCTGCGGCAGCTTCCCCGTGCGCATGGCGCCGCTGGTCGCGAGGGCGCTGGTGCAGCGGTTCACGGACGTGCGCTTCAACTGGGCTACCAAGACCCTGCAGTCGTTCCTAGAGGTGGTCTGCTGGACCAGCGTCACGTACGCGACTTATTCACTGTACGGTGACGTGCTGCTGGCCTTGGAAGTCGGCACCTTCGTCGGCGCCATGATGTCTGTATGTGACGAGATCGTGCTGCAGTTCGTGCGCGGCTTGGCGCGCGTCATCCGAAACCAGCCGGGAGGTGGCGACCTGCTGCAGCGACTGGGCTTCGACGTGCCCAAGAACGGCAAGGCGCCGACGGACGGCCAGGAGATCACGCTCATCAAGAACCTGGTGTTCGGCTACCTCGGCGTCGTGGCGGTGCGCTCGTTGTGGGAAAACTTCCACGACGTCAAGTTCTTCGCGCTGCTGACGGCCTGCACGGGCGTGGCGTTCGTCGTGACAGCAGAGTTCTGCTGCTTGTGGCTGCCCACGCGACGCGTGGGGCTGACCCTGCAGTCGCGATTCACGAAGGTGAGGCGCAACTGGCAGGAACATTGGCTCCGCTCTATGGTGGAGATGCTCTGCTGGACGCTGTCCACGAGCTACTTGTACTACAGCTCGGAGGACTTCTGGTGGGCCTTCCGGGTGGGCACGCTGGTCGCCGTCGGCGCGAGCCTGAGCTCGGGGCTCGACCACCTCACAGACGTCGACGTCATGCACATCGATAAGCCTGAGTACGGCTTCTGGGAGGAGCGAGCTCTGGACGACCCGTTCATGGCGCTGGCGGGGAGACTGGTGAAGGTTCAGCGCGCGCTTGAGACGACATGGCGCGCCGTGGAGGCGGAGGCCATGGACATGTACGAAAACTTTGGCGAGTGAAGAGCTCGCCTTACCGATGTACCTTCAAAGGACGAACCTCAATGCAAGAACGGACAGTACGTTTGATTGTTGCCTCTCTCGCGCAGCGTCTCTGGTGATGCGAATCACCTCGATACTAACCCGACACGCGTCACCTCAGCGAGACCATTATGCTCGCAGCATTGCTGCGCTGCACTATGCGTGTGCCACTCGCGGCAGTTACCAGTTGCTTGCGGCTCTATTCGTCTGCAACGCTTCAACGTGGGTCACCACGCAGCGTCGACGCTATACTTACCTTTGCCCCGACTATAGCAATTGTGGTACGCATGCACACTTGTAGTTGCCGCAAAGGCAACTTGGTCAAGTCTGTCCCAGGTCATTGCGTGCCTCTGCATCTTAGCCGGCGATGGCTCACCATCGGCGGCAGTATCCAATTTCCCCCGACAAGCACAAATCTTCCGTAGCTCGTCAAGCTTCCTCCCTCCCCTCCTCCTCTCCAAGTCAAGATGGCCCCCAACATGGACGCAGTCGCCGCCGCCACGTCGGCCCCGCTGGCCCACGTGCAGAACAGCCACATCCGCGAGATGCACTCGGACGTGCTGTTCCACATCGGCCTCACCTGCTCGCAGGAGGAGCGCCAGCAGGTGGCCGCCACCTTCGGCGACGTCAAGTTCTTCGTCACGGGCGGCAGCGCCGAGCGCATGACCAACTTCGCGCACTCCGTGGCCAAGGAGCTGGGCATCGCCACGCCCTACGGATACAAGCTGGCCCCGATCGGCAGCACGTCGCGCTACACGCTGTTCAAGGTGGGCCCCGTGCTCGTGGCCAACCACGGCATCGGCATGCCGTCCATCTCCATCCTGCTGCACGAGGTCACCAAGCTGCTCGAGTACGCCGGCGCGCACGGCGCCACCTACATCCGCATGGGCACGAGCGGCGGCATCGGCGTCGAGCCGGGCACCGTCGTCATCACGTCCGAGGGCGTGAACAACAAGATGGAGTCCGTGGACGAGGTGGCTGTGCTCGGCGCCACTGTGCAGCGTCCGTCGATCTGCTCGCCCGAGGTGCGCGAGGAGATCATCACCGCCGCCAAGGAGGTGGGGCTGCCCTACGCGGTGGGCAAGACGCTCAGCTGCAACGACTTCTACGAGGGCCAGGGCCGCCTGGACGGCGCCATCTGCGAGTACACGCTCGAGGACAAGATGGCGTTCCTGCAGAAGCTGGCGGACGCGGGCGTGCGCAACATCGAGATGGAGGCGCGCTGCATGGCCGGCTTCTGCCACAAGCTCCACATCCCCGTCGCCGTCGTCTGCGTGACCCTGCTGAACCGCCTCAACGGCGACCAGGTGCTCTCGAGCCACGAGACGCTGCAGGGCTTCGAGCAGCGCCCCGCCGCCGTGCTGCTGCACTACATCAAGAGCAAGATCAACGCGTCCGCGTAGAGCAGAGTAGATGCTATCACAATATAAATTTTTGCTCCAAGAAGTGTCGTCGACAGCGACGCCGAGCTCACGAGCTGGAGCGAGCGCAAAGGTTAGTCGTTGCCAACTGATCGCTCTGGATTCGCACTGCAACCAGCGCGTCAACGCGCGTCAATGCGAGTTCAGCAACCAGAACTGCAGACACACAATGCAACGGGTGCCGCTTGGGCGACCACTTCAACATCCTAAAGAAGAAGGGCGGAACACGCCCTTATAACTGCTGCAGCCGAATCTGACTCCGCCCGCAGCCTTCACTTTTCAAACGCCGATTTGCTCACTCCACGTTGGACCAAGCCCCGCAGTCGACGCCCATGTCCTCCAGCTCGCGCGCGACGCGTCCCGTGTGCTTCCGATCGCAGTGGAGGGACTCCGGTCTGAGCGCGTGCGTGGCTGTGAGCGGCATCAGCGACATCGGCGCCGCCGCCAACCGCGAGAACCAGGACGCGTTCTTCACCTTCTACGACCCCAAGAACGCCGCCTTGGTGGTGGGTCTCTTCGACGGCCACGGCCGAGACACTGGGCAAGACGTGGCCCAGGCTGCCAAACGGTACTTCGAGGCGCAGTTCCAGGGCTACTCGAGCGAAGACTACGCGCGGCTGCAGCGAGACCCGGAGCAGTTTTTCCACGAGCTATTCGCGTCGTGCCACCAAGCGCTCAAGTACATGCTGCGCGATCTCTATGAGCGAGCGGGCCACTCCGTGGAGGAGCACCAGCCCGACGGGTTCTTGGTGCGCCACAATTGGCACACCGGAACAGTTGCAAGCGTCCGAGGCGGCACCACAGCGACGATCGTGGTGGTATTGGACGGCGGCAAGAAGATCTACTCCTCTAACGTGGGCGACTCTGCGGCGCTATTGATCTCCATGCAGCCTGCTATGCGAGTGGGAGATGTGGAAGTTCACGGGAACGATGGCGCGGATGTACACCGGCAGAACTTTCAGTTGCTGAGTGGTGACTCGAGTGAAGACAACAACCAACCGCCAGGATCCCAACCAATGTTGGTCCTGTCAGGGAACCACAGTCCTGAAAGTGCCAACGAGTTCTTCCGTGCTCGGTCTGCACGTTGCAGTCCGCTAGACGCTTCATTACCAGCTCTGCGGTTTGTGTACGACAGCACGGAGCCGAAGAGCCGACGCCTCCCCATCTTCACCTTGACTAACAACGGCGACTTGCACCGTAACCCACGAGGCGACTACTACAAGAACGTCCGCGACGAATGGGCAACTGTGGTAGCAACACCATTCACCTCGTTATTCCCCGATGCTCTGGCGTTCACTCGTTCGCTCGGGGACTTCCACATGCACAGCTACGGCGTTAGCTGCGACCCGACGGTCACGGAGCTGTCGCTCGAGCGCGTCATGGCCAGACACCTCGGACTCACCACTATCTCATCAGACAATCAGGACGAACATTGCAGCAGCAGCACAGACAGTGACGGCGACAAAACGAGGTACGCCTCGAACGGTAGCAGCGAGGACCCAAGCGAGGTTACCTTCATGCTGCTGGTGGCGTCCGACGGCGTGTGGGACAACTGGGCGTTCCACGATTTACACTCTTTCCTCAGCTCTGTAGCTCGCAACAAGAGTCTGCACCAGCAAAGCGCCGTGCCCGGCGAGTTCGCCCCTGTGGACGCCGTGGTCTCCTCACTGCTGGACGCCAACCTGCAGCGCGCCAGCAGCTACTTTGGCGACCAGGCGGACAACATGACGGCCGTTCTATGCAACTTCACCTACAGAAACTGAGCTAAATCATAAATTAACATGCGTTTGAGTAGGTTTGTTGCGTAAAACACTCCACTTTTATCGCGCCTCCACCGCCGCAGATCACAAAGAGACCAGCAAGTGTCGAGAGGACCATGATGCGCCGAGCGGCCCAGGGCATTGGCGCGCGATGCGCCGTCATGACGAGACGCCCCAGCGCATTGCAGGGCGTCAACAAGTGCGCAGCCCGCGCGCTGGCCACCAGAGGCCCCGGTGCGTGAAGATAATTGCATGGATGTATCATTGACACACTGGACTGACCTGTCGCCAATGCTGCTGCCAGAGCTCGAGTGGATGAAGAACCGCGACCCGTACTGCAACGTGGGCGAGTCTATTGCATCCAAGATCGGCGTGAATCTGCACCGCCAGCCGAACCACCCGCTGCACATCATCAAGACCAAGATCGAGGGCTACTTCGACGACCTGCACCAGAACCACGGGTGCGTCGGGCTCTTATGCCTCTGGTTGAGAATAACTGAGTTTGTTTGTACTAACAGGTTTGTGTGAATGATGCAGTGCCCCTAAGTTCACGGTGTTTGATGATCTGGATCCCGTTGTGACGACGTACGACTGCTTCGACTCGATGCTCGTGCCCAAGGACCACGTCAGCCGCAAGGTCACGGACACGTACTACGTGGACGAGAACCGCGTCCTGCGCGCACACACTAGCGCGCACGAAGTGGCGACCATGAAGAAGGGCTTCACGGCGTTCTTGGTGTCGGGCGACGTGTACCGTCGTGACGAGATCGACGCCAGCCACTACCCCGTGTTCCACCAGATGGAGGGCGTGCGGATTTTCTCCGAGCTTGACGCGGCGACGCCTCGGGAGGAGAAGGTGGCGCATGTCAAGGAAGAGCTGAAGAAGACGCTGGAAGGCATGGCGAAGGATCTCTTCGGTGATGTGGAGATGCGCTGGGTGGAGGCGTACTTCCCCTTCACGGAGCCGTCGCTTGAGCTGGAGATCTACTTCAACGGCGACTGGCTGGAGGTGCTGGGCTGCGGTGTGCTGCAGCAGGAGATTGTGCGCAACGCTGGACTCGGAGAGAACGTCGGCTGGGCGTTCGGCCTCGGCCTTGAGCGTCTTGCCATGGTGCTGTTCGACATCCCTGACATCCGTCTCTTCTGGTCTCAAGATAAGCGCTTCATTTCGCAATTCAAGGACGGCCAGATCACCAAGTTCAAGCCCTACAGCAAGTACCCGGAGTGTTTCAAGGATGTGAGCTTCTGGCACGACGATAACTTCCACGAGAACAACCTGTGCGAAGTTGTGCGTGACATCGCTGGCGACATGGTGGAGCAGGTACGAGTGTTCACAGTTCAACCAGGAAGATACTTCCGAAAATCCTCGGCCTAACGCGATTTTGTTTTATGTTACAGGTTGCTGTCGTGGATGAGTTCACGCACCCGAAGACCCAGCGTAAGAGCAAATGCTACCGCATCACGTATCGCCACATGGACCGTAACCTTACAAATAGCGAGGTTGACGAGATTCAGGTAATACTCTCGCTAAAAATATGCAAGGTACTACAGGCAGATCACTAACATGGAACTTGTCGCCGATGTGTAGGAGGTCGTGCGTGCTAGGATGGTGAAGGACCTTGGTGTCGAGCTCAGATAGATTGCAGGAGCCTGACGTGGAGCTAGATGTACCAAAATGCGCTTCAGTGGCCGAGGCTGATGGACGAGGAATGGCATGCCAAAGGATCAGATAAATGAAAGCAAACTCGAAAGCTGAAGCGACGTTACTTGATTTGAGCTTTGCGGCAGTCTAGGGTATAGACCCCTCGTTGTTGGCTTCAGTCTTATTTTGCTGAAGCAGTGTTGAAACGGATTGAGTGAGGAGGCGGTCGCAATTGAAGACGGAATTGGCCTCAGTTGTGCGCGTGCTCGCAAGCTCATCGACTGACTGCCCTGTGTCAGCATGGAGGAAATGGCTCGAAACCCAATGAGCCCGGCAGAGGACTGGAAGCGAAGATTCCAGAGGGAGACCAAGGTAAGCGATTGGGTCTGCGACTTGCACTAGTGGTCTGCTTTGCACTTATTATTTCCATGTTGTAAAGGTTAACAAGGAGCTGGGCCGGCGTCTTCGGGTATGGCGATGTTCAACTTAAGGTGTTTCCTCTCGAGACTCTTGTGCTGATGGTTCGTTGAAAACGCAGGAAACAAAACATCAACTCGAGGAAGAGAAATCGCGTTCACAGGAGCTGGCGAACCAGTTGCTTCACTATAAAAGACTCCAGTACTGCGACGAGAAACCGAATGTGCGCGCTGTGTATTCTATCCTACGAATGCGGTTGAACTTTACTAACGAACACTTGGTCTTTTCATTATTCTCACTTGCTGGTGTTATAGAAACAGGATGGCGTGTGCTGTAATTGCGACCGACTCGAGGAAGAGCTAGCTAAGCTCAGGCGCATCATCGCTGAAGCGGGCTACAAGTATACGCCAGCCGAAGAAGATTCTTCAACTGCATTATCGTTGGGATCCGAGGACATTCACGACGAAAAAGATGAGCGCACCCCAGAAAGAAGGAACTGTTCCGAGTTTGATCAAGAGGACCCTGACGAAGTGCAGACTGGTGAACGTTCCTCACCGCCCCAAGTAGCACCATTTCAGCCCAACGCAGCAAATACAGCGTCGTTGCCTTCAACGGAATTAACAACTAACGAACAAACTATGGTGATCGAAGAGCCTGAAGCAGACGATAGCAACCAGGTGGACCACGATTCTCCTCGGCAGATCTTCACCGATATTGACGACTCATCCCTCGGCGCTTTGTTCAAGTACGCTGTTGTGCTCGCTGGCCCAGCGCCTACCAAGCCCAAACCAAGGCCACGACTGTCATTCTCGGATCGATTCAAGTCTGTGGACAGCCAGCGAACTCGGAATCCTCAGGAGAGTGCGGAGCAGGCCGACCATCAGGACATTTTTTCCACCCACGAAGAGAACTCCAGTCGTCCACGAAGCGCCCCAGTCGGCAAGTGGAAAGCGATGTCTCCTAATGGCGGTAGCATGTGGTCGTTAAAACGACCGTCACCGTCAGTTCTAGACAATGTGCACGAGGAGAGGGTACCGTCGCCACTGAGACGAGCAGCCACTGGTTTGTTTTCAAACCTCGTGCCCAGCGGACTGCGAGGTGGTTCGCCTTCGTTGAGCGCGCCATCAACCCCTCCGCTACCTCCCCCTCCTCCAGCTAAAGCCAGCACCCCACCGCCGGTTGAAGCCTCCCCAGCATCAAAACTCTTGTGTGTGTATCCTCCCAATGCTGGCGAAGTTCAGGAACTCGAAGGTTTATTGGAGATTTGTTTTCCGTACGGAGAAGAGCCCCCACTCACTAGAGATTTTTCGATTACCCAGCTCAAACGTTCGCTACAAGAGCGGCATCGGACGTATCGAAGCCCAGACTCGACATTTGTGCTAACAATCGCTAGCGCGAGCAACCCAACTGAAGTAACTTACGCCATTTGCGTTCGCTGCCCATTGTTTCCAGACAAGGAAGACAGTGATGATTCGGACCCCATAACGCCAACGTTTTCGGACGGGCCGACGCAGTGCTGTTTGTGCTTGCTAAGTCCCTATCCATTCTTTGGGCTCTTTTTCAAGGTTTTGTATGGGATCGCAGTGCTTTGGAATAACAAGCGAAGGGAAGCTTTGACGATGAGGCAGAAAAATACAGCAGGATCAGCACCCGACAGTCTGGCAACAATGCTTGAGAAACCTTTGGGAATGCTGGACTTTGTGGAAATCTTCCAGGGCGTCATGGAACGCTTAAAGGCGATGGAAATCCCAGCCATGGGCGGGTGGAGCCGCATGGTTCTCTCACCGCAAGTCACGCACTTGGCTTTCCACCGTCCTCACAGCGCAAATTTGGCCGTGGAGCGAAGGCATTTACTTCTGGAATACGCAGCCCCAACACTCTTCGGTCTCCTATCAGTGGACCAAGTGCTCTTTCTGCTCGGGTGTTTGTGTAGCGAGCGTAAAGTTTTAGTGGTGTCGGACCATGTCAACATCGTCAGTTCATGCGTTCTCGCGCTTATTACGCTACTCCACCCGCTGCAGTGGGCTGGTCCAGTGATCACAGTGCTGCCGCCTCGACTCAATGAGCTTCTGGAGGCACCTGTTCCCTTAATTGCTGGCCGAGTTTCTATCAATTCGGCATCGATACGGAACTTTTCCACGTTGGATCACCCGATGAAAGACGTCATCGAGATGAACATGGATCAAAATGCGCTGCATATGCACGATGAAGATCTGATCACGTACCATGAGCTCAAGCTCCCAGAGTGTGACGAGTTGGTCCACGAGCTTGAGCCGTACTCGGCTCAGCTTTTTGGCAAGCATGGCTCGCCTGACTTTCCGACTGTTGAACAGGACGAGGCCTGCAAGATCATGTGTGCTAGGATTCATCACCACATTGAATCGATCTGCCATCTAGCGTTGGCGGATAAAGAGGGCGATATGGTCGTCGGAACGGATTCCCCAGGGAAAGAATCGAGCCGCTCTTCGTCCGAAACATCTCCGTCGAGGGGTTCGATCACACGTCTTGGTGCCGATCGCCGTTGTAGTGCCATGGTTGCGGACTACATTAACCGCTTCCAAGAGACTCAAATGTTCAGCATGTTTACACTGCAAGCCCAAGACGCGCAGAACGAAAGTGACGAAGGCGATGCCGAACACGACGACAGCGAACACGATGAGCACAACGATGAAGAGTATCACTATGAGATTGAAGATGCTTCGTTTGCTCCCAACAGGAATAGATCTCTAGTAGCGGAATAAACTAAGCCTCATATTGAATCCTTACAAGCGCGTTCAACGAAATGATACTTACCGACATTAATGTCGCTAGAAACAAATACACTTATGAAGTAGAAGTCGCCCCAACAACCGGAAAGTGGAACTCTCCATCCTCTTCGGGTTGAGTTCGATACTTACATGGTTAACCCGAAAGTAATTGTTTCATAGAAGCACAAAGGCAAATTACACAAGCTGGGTGTTGTTGCGGTTTAGAGCATCAGTAGACTACACCTTTACCCAGCCTTAGTTGTCTAATCCGCATCCAAAGTTGTCAGCTTTTATTTTGGGTGGGAGCGAGGTACCCGAATTAACCCCTTGAACCCGAGAGCCTGGACCGTACATGTTACGCGCAAAAGCTTAACGTGGACCGTACACGTTAAGCTTTTCTATACTTGGTTTTTGTATTGGTCGCTACAATTTTCAAGTCAACGAGGGGTAGGCGATGTATCCATGGCTTCCACGGGCATTGAGAAAGGCCAAAAATGAGCGCACTGCCGATCAAACTTGCATATTGCATATGTACTATGAAGGGCGAACGAACTGTCGCCACTGAATTTTCTCTCATTTGAAGATTCACCACCGAGGGCCCAGAACCCACGCCGCCGCTAGGAATGGCGTTCCAGGCTAGATGGCGAGAGCTGAAGAAGGCCGGTTGGCACTCCAGAAAGCCGGCCGCCTTATCGGTCGACTTTACCTACTTGAAGCCCGGGAAGACGAAGAAGGACACGCGTGGCGAGGACTACTTTGTCGCCGAAGAAGAGCTCATGAAGTATTTGGACAAGCTTGACATCGGAATGCCTTTTGTCGCGAATTGACGGTCATGCTTTAATCCTAACGGTATTCTGTCACTAGCTGCACTCGAGGCGAAGAAGAAGGCGAGGCGAGAGGGCTCTGCAAACGCCGCCAGACGTCGAAGCGCGGTGCAACGTCTGCCAAGCAGCTAACCCAACTCAACTGACGGTACTATGCTCATGCGCTGTATCCTACAAGTTTGGCTTGTATCTAATCATGTATTTCATGGATTTCGTGGACACGCAGCATCTCCGAAGCCGTCGACGCCGCCAGCAGCGGCTCCGAAGCCGTCGACGCCGCCAGCAGCGACTCCGAAGCCGCCGACGCCACCACCAGCGACTCCGAAGCCGTCGACGCCGCCAGAAGCGACTCCGAAGACGTCGACACCGGCAGCAGCGCCTGAAGCCGATTCTCCGGCGGGTTCGAACATGTGTGATGTATGTGCTACCGTATGCAACTCATGATTTAACCATGCATTTACTGTTGTAGAAGCATCGCCGGAAAGGCGACGTAACCTCACCTCCGACATTGCAGATGCCGATGACGGAAGCGAGTCGTCCTACCACCCGGATGATGACACTGACGCCTCATACGATGACGATACTACGCCAGTAGTAGACGTAGCAGAGAAGCCCAAAGGCGATGAAGAAGCCGATGTTGCGACTGGAGGTTAGTCAAAGCTGCCTATACACGATTGAGAATGCATCCAACTTGTATGTACAACTTTTGCCGTTTATGCAGATGCTAATCTCGTCGATGAGTCTGAAGACCCACGAGCCTACGTAGCGTTCGAGTCCGATGCAGAGAACGATGACGGAGATGACGAGGGCGACGCACCTGAAGATGACTTGACTGAGCTCGACGTGCAACTGCCCGTGCCGCCGGAGCTCCGGATTGATGACAAGCTTATTGCAACTATTGGTGGAATGGAGAGTATTCTGTCGGGGACTGTGTCCGACGAGTTGCTGCGAGACATGGGAGAGAAGGGCTGGTCTGACCTCTCCACGTCAACGCCGTACGACTACTTGATGCAACCCTACGAGGATCGCCCAGCCAACTTGCTGAACCAAGACTATCCTAACCTGTACTCAGGAGAGTCGGGGCCGACTGCCAAGGCACTCGATGCGGCTGAGACTCCGTCTGGTGCGTTCTTCTACTTCCTGCAGCCGGACCTCTGGGAAGATATCGCTTCCGAGTCCAACGATTACTTCAAGGAGAACATGGATGAGAGGGTGGAGGGTCAACACACCAAGCAAGTCGCTTGACAGCTGAAACACCCTGAGTTTAAGCCAAAGACGAAAGAGTAGTTACGAAGTGAATTGGAAAACTACCCAGGTATTACACCACGCGAATTGTGTGTTTTATTGGGCTTCTTATTGCAAGATCGATCGTCCCTAACAAGGAGAAGCTGGCGCACCATTGGCGGACGACGGATGAAGGCGCGATACCTCGCGGATGCTTTGGTCAGTTCATGGTTCGCGATAGATTCATGCATCTGCCGCGAAACCTACACTTCAGTAGCAATAGCAACGTACGTGCCTCGAGCGACAGAACCTGGAAGCTACGCCCGGTCATCGATGCACTTCAAGACCGTTTTTCTGCCGGCTTCGTTCCGCCTGCGGTCATGGCTTTTGACGAAGCTATGCTGCCATCGGGATCTACGTTCAACCGAATGATGGTTTCATGAAGGATAAACCCCACAAATGGGGGACGAAGCTTTTCATGCTTTGTTGCTCGAAGTCGGCGTACTGCATCCGGTAGGCGATGAGCGTGCCTCGAGCGCCCCCGTGTTTAGTTTTGGCGCGTAAGATATGTTATCGTGTATCCTACAGACTAACACTTTACTATTGTTGTACGATACAGGTTTGAGGTGTACTGTGGAAAAAAAGAAGACTGGTGGTGCGTCCGGCTCCACCGACTACAAGTCCGGCCTGGCCGCCGTCGCGCGCAACTTACGAGAAGTTTTTGGTCCTTCACCTCCTGCGGATGGAGCGATGCGCCTTGTCGTCACGGATAGGTTTTACTCTGCGCTTCCTCTCTCGATGCAGTTGCTCACGATGGGGTTCTACTCAATTGGCACCGTCCGCACCGACCGTCTCGGGCTGAGCACGAAACTGATCCCGAAGAAGAAGAAGGGCGACAAAAAGAAGCCGCCCAAAATACCCAAGAATCGTCCAGCCAGTATCGAGAGAGGCACATACATCGTCTCCGAAGGCGTTGCACATTCCTGGCATGATGGTGGGACACCCGAGCCGTGCACATGTTGAGCACTAGCGGAAGTGTTGCCATGGACCGGATCGTACGCCGTGACAAAATGACTGGCGAGCAGCATGAAGTGGCATGCCCGCGCATCGTCAAGGACTATCAGACCTACATGGGCGGCGTGGACGTGCACGACCAATTGCGTCTATAAAGGTGAAGTTGAGTATCTTATATATGCAAGTTATGATTGTATCTAATCGTGTATGCTACATATTGCAGGTATTCGCTGCAGTTGTGCATCAAGGACAAGAACTACTACAAGTCCCTGTTTCTCGGACTCGTGGGTCTCGACATTATCAACGCATTCATCGTCTTCAACGCTCGACGCGCAGCCAGCAATCTCCCAAAGCTTAGTCACGTCAAATTCTTGAAGCAACTCCATTTGGAGCTATGTCAGCTCCATGAGGAAGACTGGGAGGCGTTACAGAGCAACGAGCGCTTCCAGGCGACGCCGTCCAAGCCGCGGCAGCTCAGCAAGGCTCAAGCAGCGCACCAGCCTGTACAGAACGACGAATGGCGCCCGGGGAACAACCAGCAGGGGCGGAAGAGACGTGCGCGAGTGTGTAAAGTCTGCTCGCTGCTCAAAGGCAACAGCAATGCTCGTGGAGGCGATTCTTCCGTGTATTGCAGCCAGTGCAAGCTGCCGAACGCGTCCAAGAAGCCCATGGTATGGCGAGTGTTTCTCTGCGAGAAGGTACGGCACACCTACAATGGGTCTGCCATGTCGTGCTTCGACTTCTGGCATAAAGCCTGGCGGAACGGTACGCTGCTGCCTAAGAAGGCGGCGAAGCGCAAGATCCGCGCGCGTGCACCGGCACGCAGCGGGAACGAAAATGAGGAGAAGGACAATGGTGGGAGTGTGCAGTCGTCGAGTGTTGAGTCCACGACAGGCGGCCCGCATCTGCCAAAGCGAGCTCGTGTCGCTCCGGATGCTGTGATGCGTGATTGAACGGGGCTTTGCGTCAGTCCCTTTTTACTTTGGTTTTGTATACCTGCATAAACACGACATTGAACTTGATTGCATCTGTTCCATTCGTGCAGTTATGTACAGCCTTTTCCCGACTCTGCTCACGGTGATCATGTCTCTCACACGTGCATGCGTGTATACCATACCGTTTACTACGCATAATGTGTATATTTATCGATATTCCTACTTGTATAAAGTGGAGATACACGATAGGCGAAGAGGCACTCACCCAGGGTTAGAGGTACTTTGCGCCTTTCCAACAGAAACAATCATACACGATACCAAAACAACCTGGTTTCAGTATAGTATCCCTTACCCTGGTATACACGTTACCTTAGCGGATGGGGGGGGGCAAAACACCTTCGGTCTCAAGGGGTTAAGGGGTACCACTCTCCTTAGTGCTCCCAAATCAAAGTTGTCGGAACTGACGAGAACCTGACGTGAAGTTCCCGCGCGCGCGAAGTTGACCATGACTTCGTGCGTGGTGCGCTCACCCCTCAACCTACCCAGCATCGCACGAGTGCTATAGCATCTGCTGGGACTGCGCGACGACGGCTTCAGCCATGAGCGACAACGTGATGCGAGCCAATGAGAATGTCCGGCGGCGCGCTGCGTAGGAGCAATAACAGCAGTGTCCGCAGGTACTAGCAGCAGTATGACCGCGCGCCACAGAACACAACGCGCATCAATAGTCCGCGTACTGCTCTACACGCACTTTAGGTACGTGCCCGAGTTCCTGAACCCACTGCTCATCAGCGACGACCAGCCGATCATGAAGACCGAGGCGCGCATGCGCATTCTCGAGCGCGCAGCTCATGTGAACATGACCTAGATCACGCATCACATGGTGCAGAAGATGGAGCTGCACGCGGCCAAGTTCGTCAACGCCGCAACTCGCAGCGAGGACATGGTGTACGGCGAGTTCTTTGATGCTGTGCGTGTGCACTGTGCATGTGTAGGTTTTGGTCAGTGCCAAGTTGGCACTGGGCGCCTTCCAAAACCTGCATAAAAAGGGTTTAATCGCTGCGGTTAGGGTGCATCAAACTTGTGATTAAACAACTGATTAAGACCCCATTTCTTTGGTAAGACCAGAATCTCGCCTCACGAAACAATTCAGTTTAATCGCGTTTGTAGAGATTTATCGCTCCACCTGAACCAGCAACCGAATCAAACTACTTACTACAACCTTGTATACGCCAGCTTCAACAACTTCATATGGAAATCGATCTCTTCGCAGCTTGAAAGGATTCATTCTTGTAAACCCCGCTCTCACCACAGTTCGTACGGCAAGCTTCTTTCAGTAAGTTTTCATACTCCTAAACGGGCATATGAGTTAGTTAAAACCAGCTACAAACGTGTTCCGGAAGCACAGGCACCATGGCTACGGCCACCGGAAAACGCGCCCGCTCATCGAGCTCGAAATCACTTTTCAAACCTGGGCAGCGTTCTCTCAATAAGTCAAAACGCGTGAAAACGTGTGTAGCGCCGACGTTCTCCTCTAGGCAAACGATCCCTGGACGTCTGAAGCTCCGCTGGCGTCTGGTGCTAGCCGTCTTGTATTCAAGACGGGGACAATGCAAGCCAGCAAGCTGTCTGATTTCCAGCTCGTTGCAGAGGGCCAGGGCGGGAACCAGGGGATCGCGGTCGCTAGTGCTACTGCTCCCGACATGGCTGCGGCCACGCCTTGGGGTTTTACAAGGGCGGAGTACGGTCTGTGGCAGAGATCGCCTGCCGCGCTAGTCGCAGAGGGTGGTGACTCGGATTCGGATGAGAGTTGGTCGTCCGCGCCGCCGCGGTCACCGCAAACGCATTCGTCGCGGACGCAGCTCATGCGGAACGCGAGGTTCACGCAGCACCTTGACGTAAGTGTCGACTCCGACTTCTCCTTCTCGCAGTCATCATTCGCGTCGTTAATGAACGGGCCGTCTTCGCCAGCGGGATCCTCCGCTTCGAGCGCGTCTGTTGGTGCGTCCTCCGCTAGCTCGCCTGGCTTCGAGGTAGTGGAGACGGCGGGGGTTCCGTCACGTCCACGTGTCTGGGAACCTGCCGAGTGGCCGTCCGGCGTGCGGAGGCTGTACGAGCTCGAGTACCCCAGCCATTGGCGGTTCTCTTCCGTGGCTGTTGGACGAAGCTGTGGGTGCAAGACTGCCTGCACCGCTGCCTCCTGCAGCAACGCTAGAAGCAGCCGTTTCTACTGTCAATTCAATTGCTCGTTTGCTGGGTTTTGCGGTAACGCATTGCGTGATAGCAAGCGCATCGAGCTCTGCAAAAGCGCACTCAAGGGGGGGGGCTTGGCCTTGTGGCAACCCGGGCTATTCCAAGAGGAAACATCATCGGGCAGTACTTCGGAAGCCCTAAAACGGAAACAGACCACGTTAGCCCCAGCTTCAAAGTGCAGTCGCAAGCATAGCGCTAATAAGAAGCCACGAACCTGCTCAAACTGGTCATGTTGATGAGGTTGATGTCGTTCCCTCCGCGCCACAAGTCCATCCAGGAGGCCACGACCGGAAGCGACAGGCAGCCGACGGTAAGATAGTGTCGTAGCAGCCGGTCGCGCTCATCACGAATGTACTCGTCGTGGAGATTCCGGCGAAGGTCACGCAGAGCCGCAGCCATCCGTTGGCGCGTCAATGCCGTCGCGCTCAGTGCAGCTAACACAGCAGCGTCTTCCATCGAAGCACGCTGTGTCGAGATGTCGAGTAAATTAAAAAGCCTTCGGGGAGCGCTCACCCCCTTTGTTTTTCCCTAAATGTAGAGATCCGTTTTCAATATTTGTCCAAGTTTTGAATGTCCCATACGACGGGCCATACAAAACCCCCATACTTTCTTTGCTACTGGGCTCTATCAGCAGGACGCATTAAATTTTTATCGTAGTTTTGGGGGCCACTTTACGATAGTACGTGACTAGAGGATTCGGCTGGTAGTGCGCTTTGTTTAGCAGGAAGGAAAATCAATCATAAAGCGGATTCATTGAATTGTGAATTAATAGCAGTGCTGGAAGGAATGAAATGGTAGAGAGTCGGTAGCTGTAGTTCCTACGCGTGCATGGAGGTAAAGGCGTGACCGGCTGGAAGCCCGGCAAACCAGCGCTGTAAGTCGGCAGACCGGGAAGTCGCTGGATGGTGGAGCAGGGTAGACCGGACCCCAATGTCGACGGACCGAATATTCATGTAATCGGAGATTTGGCCGTTTTGAATGAGAATAGGATGGCCCTGTAGAGAATCTTGGAGTTCGTCGGCGTCTTGTCCCCACGCTGTACATACCACATCGACATTGGAGTCATCAACCAACAGGAATTCGCGCTTCAAAGTCTTGCGGCCCGCGCGAGTCGTAATGTCTCTGAGAGGCCCCACGTCGACGACTATTCCGGAGACGGTAGGAGTAGCAGCAGGCAAGTCAGCGAGTCTGATGTAGGCAAAAGCAGGCTCTGGATAGTCGGGGCCATCGGTAACTCGGTGGATGTTAGCGTCACCCCCGAACGAGAGCTCGATAGGTGAACTCGGCGGCGCGAATACAGAATTTGCGGTCGTGATGCGCCCATTAGAGAACGAGCAAACCGCCCCTGGAGAGAGCACGTCGAAAAACCTTTCGGCACCTTCGTTGAACACAGTCACGCGCAAAGTAGCGTCGTCCCGATCGGTGACATGAACACGAAACAGCCTCCCAGACGCACGCCACGACTTAAACGTACGAACAGGGCTCCGGGCGAGTATTCGGCCAATGAAAGACCACGGAGCTCGAATTTCGGGGTTAAAGTCGGCGATGGTGAAGACGGGCAATGGCGGGGGAGTGTTAGTGGCTTCGGTATCTGCAGCGACCACGTCCATGACAGTGTTAGCGCCGGCGGCAGGATCGACCGTAGTGTCAGCACTGTTTGCAGCTGCTGGCGTAACGCTGGCGCGATCATCAGTGGCGGTCGGATCGCATGCGAGCGCTTGGGAGAGCGCTCGCCGGCTTCTGGGTTATCGGAAGCGCGGTCGATTGTTCGTTTGTGATGGCCTTGAGGCGGGTCGCGACTTGGAGGATTGTCTCGCGTATTGTCTTGAGGCGGGTCGCGATGTGGTAGATTGCTGCCCGGAGGATGCAGCGCTTGGCCACTGGCGGGTTTGTGTTCAATGGATGATTGACGCTCAGGCGCGTACTCGCTGGAAATAGCGGTTGCTTGGATAGCGTTGCGGATGGTAGAGCGACCGTGGCTAGGGGCGTTGGCGATTGTCGGGGCGGGAGTATCGGGCTTAAGCGCGGCGGCAGCGCGACGGACTTTGGCATCGTCTTTGTCATTCTTTGTCTGTGCGAGGAGGTTACCGGTAATCTTGGCGCCTTTCTTTTTTTGCTTCTGAACGGCGGTGCCAGTATGATGGTGGGAGCTTGGCGCTGGCTGAGCGGTGGACGGAGCCTCCATTTGGGCCGGACTGGAGAATGAAGAATGAGCCTGAGAAGCGAGAGCAATGGTTTCGGCGCGGTTTTCTAGGAAGTGCTCCAGAAGCCATTGGCGGAATTTTCGGAGACATTTCGGAAGAGGGGGCTTGAGAGTTGAATTTATGCTGGCATAGCAGTATTTACCGATAGGTATGGCTGCTGGACAGCCCTCATTATGTCGCGTGCACCACGCCGCTTAAAGTTAACACAGCTTGCGTAATTGGTAGATTGGTACGTCGAAACTTAGCCGGAAGTAAACGGTACTAAAGTTGAAGTGCACCCTGGATACCAGTATGCATCCAGATGTCCCCGAGAATTCGCAGATAGATTCACAGAGTGACTTATGTAGTCCAAAACTAACTTTGAAGTGCAAACAGGGATAATGCCATTATCATATTGAATGGGGTAAGTATCCTTGTCCAGAGAGCGACTTGAGGGCCGCATGTGCGGCGCGCCGAAGCCGCTTGCAACGCGAGATGGGCAAGTCTAGACGAGCTATCCCACCCCGCGAAGCCCTAGTAAGAACGGGCTGAATGCATGTCGTAGAACTAATTCAAATGAAGTTTGAATTAGTGCTATGCGAAAGCCGAACGCGCAGGGAACACACGGAGCCTAGCCTGCTTTCCGTTGCAGAATTTGTTTTTGCCATGCGCATACCGACATTCAAGCACCAGAGACACAAGTGAATGTTGTATAGCCAATGGGCAGTGATACCAATCGAGGACTCTCTTTTATTTAGCCGTTATTATTTACGCCGCTTATTCCACCGCCCGTTCTCGTCCAAGTCCATTAGCCACTTGACTGTAAAGACGTTTGGCCTGAGGGAGAGAAAATGACTGCGGTCTGGAAAAAGCGTGGTTTGCATGCACCTAAGAGATTCAGAGTTCCTCACCCGAGACACAGCAACATATATGTGCTCGAATTGCCAACTCGGCGCATTTGTTGACCCCTCTAAAAGCGCAATGACACGGTCGAATGTGCTGCCCTGGGCTTTCCAAACAGTCAACGCCAAAGCCAAATCGACGCCGTGTTGTTCGTACCGAAATGGGTTTTCCTTCTTCCCGGATTTATCAAGTCTGATCGCGTAATTATCGCCGTTCGACTGCGCTATACCCACGGGAATGATAACGCCCTGTTTGTGATGCTGCCGCCCATTAGCATCCATGACCCACGTGGATTCGAGGTTCATGTCGTCAGGCCATTCGGATCCACTCAGCAAGTTCCCGTCGCGGTCTGTTAGCCGGACATTTATAAATTCAGGAGTCACTGTCAACTCGACTAGTGATTCCCCGCGGCGTAATGCCTCTTCAGTAAGTTGTAGCACGCGGGATACTAATTCGTCGTCGTCCCAGCCCATTGAGTGATACCAGCACCGAGTACCATTCGCTACCCCACGCGCGACGTTCCCGTTGGCATTGTCGAGTATCTGCCCCGGCGCCCCGTAATAAAAATACCCAAAGAGCTCGGGGTGTTCCGCTTCGTTATACAAAACTTCTTGTACAAAGTCTGCAATTGCGACTAGTATAGGTTTCCTCCAGCGGAAGAGTAAAGTCTTACTGCGCCGGGCGGATTTAGCAGCCATGCAAGTGTTTAGCACAGCTCGGTCAACGTTGCTGGTAACGAGCACGACAGATCCACCAATCCAAGACTCATCATTGGCGACATCTTGCCGCGTCAAGGGGCGAGTCAACGAAGCGACCATATCGTTGTCAATCGGACGATACGCAGAGTCGTCCTTCCCCCATCGATTTTTTTGCGGGTAAGTGGCCGGTAATCTGCGAAAGCGCTCAAGTAATGCTTGCTGTACGCGGCATCCACTTGCGCAATGCTGTTTCTCCAACGAAAAGACAGTGAATAGAGAAAACAGGTACCGCGCGAGCAACAGGACAGGGTCCTTGGTCTGCATATACATGCATTTGCAAAGCGATATACCTTTGACGACTTGGAGCTGCCAAAAATCTCCTGTCTGTTGGATAAGTTTCAAAACCCACAGTTAGTACGTCATAGCTATACTCCCGATTAACCGTGTCGACTCACCAATAAAATGGATTTGCCACCAAAGGGTAGGCTGCTGTCATAGAGTCCTCGCAGGCGTTCATCCAGCAAAACTAAGTGTTTCGCTTTGAACATCGAGATCTCGTCAACCACCACTAGCTCGACTGTCGCATCGAATACTTGCCGCAGGAACGCCGCCGATTGCGCGGAGAGGCGGCTGCCTTCTTTGCCGCATTTTAAGGCGGAATGAAATGTCCGCCCTTTTGTTTACTGGCATGCCCCCGCACCAGTAGGGCACGTAGCCACAACTTTATATCGACGCCGCTCGACTTCTTGATGTATTCGGCGAACAACATACGATTTCCCGGTTCCTCCGCCACCGTGGACCAAAGTAAGCGTCTGCCTCTTTTGAGCTTCATCAATGCCATTAAGTACACATTTCACGCAGCGAGCTGTTCCGCAGATAGATCACATGAGTCAATTACACAGTCGTCTTCGAGCGGGTCGCTGATACCTCCGCCCCCCCCCCCCTGCCGCTGGTTGGGGCTAGTTTGTTAGGGCCGGCCGCACCGGCCTGGAAAGTTTTGATTTAACTCGCAACTTTAGATAAGCTGTCGCTCTTATCGGCCTTGCCAAAGCGAAATACAGGATTTAGTGACGGCCCCCGCTCCGAAGCAGGCGAAACAGAAGAATCACCTTTGATATCCGCTGCGTCATAGTCCTGGAACAGTGCAGAAAACGCCGATTTCAGGGATGCAATGTTCGAGCGCCGGGTAGCGGAGCCGGCAGCGGCCCTGCTCAGTAGCTCGTACAGGTCCCCCTGCGGGGAGACTATTCCATCGAATTCTGAATCCGCCGATGAACCCGATGAATGCTGCTTTGAATGCGATTTCGGTGATTTCCAATAGTCAGCACCGCGATTTCTCCAATCCGTAGCAGTTTGCTCATTTCTGCTACAGCGAAACACCTTCTTCATTAGATTTCTAGCGAACCGACACCGCTCTCGATTAATCAACGCGGCGGAAGAGCGATCCCACGAACTACACATGGCGAGCAGTCCCGCGGCATCGAATGACCAGCTGGGGCTCATCGTTTCCCACGGAGTAACGCGCACAGTAAATACTGGGCCAGCTTGTTGCGATTTTTTTCATCAACCGAATTGTCAACAGAATTGCTCCACGTTGGAGGAGGCGCACCTCCAAATATCGGGGTTAAGAGTTTGGCGCGTATAACACCGAGATGAGATTTGAAGAGCGGGTGAGTAACTGCAAAAGGAAACCCTTGTCGAAGCGGTCTTCCGCTCCCCCCGCTAATTTTTCCACGGAACTTTTCCGCCGGTAGAACGTCAACAATACACTCGAACGCCAACGGAGAGAAATCTGCGAAATGCTGTCCACGGTGATAATAAGATTCGGCTTGCGTCAAGAACACAACGTCACCGCCAATTTTAAACGTTCGCACTCCTCTTCCCACGCACTGGCGGGAACTCCTATCCTTTGAGTAGTCCTCATCATTGGCGGTTTCAACGAGAGCAGCCAGTTCATCTTCTATGCTTCCTTGTTCGATCTCGCTGCTTACCGGGGGTGTATTTGTTTTCGCCGTCGCGTCTTAGCTGCTTCACGAAGGAGGATAACGCAAACGGGAATATATACCAAAACTTGTCGCTTGATATAAAAGATCGGTGCCCGGTGATCGCGTAGACCATCAGAGAATGAGACCATTCATGCGCCCCAGAAAAACTATTGATCCTCCTGGTCGCCAAATATTTCCCAATCCTCAGTTCAGATTGGGGATCATCAGCTCGGCTAGGGTATTTCAAGTTATGCTCCACAGCACTGAGCATCGCCGAAGCAGCACGTTTTAGCGGGGCACCTTTCGACATGTACGCTTCCTGATTTTCCTCAACAAGATCCCCGGAGTCTTCTCCATTCACGAACGATGAGTTTGTATGGGAAGCTGTTAACGCAGCCAATCAAAGATTTGTTTCGACGACTCGTATGTCTGTCGCTGGCCTCGAGAGCTCCCATAATATTGGCCCTTCGTAATGCGGGCGGAAGCATTGACCCATCTCGTAAGAATACCCGTTGTCAATGGCGCGGAGGATGTGCGGTTTCAACTCATGGCCTACCACAATGGCCTTGATACCGGTTCGAGGATTACCCTTGCGTTCGCGGATAACAATCAATGGCGAGGTCGGCCCCTCGTGTTCACCCGCGGGTCTAGCCAGACGACACATTTGCTTTCCTCGATTGCCTTTGAAACAGGTCGATGTGTGCGAGTGAAAGTTGGTAGTAGCTGCGCGCATTTGCGCCGCCTTGAGAAAAGCGCCAAAGTCAGCAGCTGCGTCCGGAAGAGGAATTTCGAAAGCTTTTGGCAAGGCTCCATTATCGATGCAGCTTTTGCACCATTCATG